CTCCCTTCTGTACTGGAAGTCTAGAGATCAATTACTCATGATGTACTAGATGCTTATAGCTCAAATGATCACGATTAGATTCCCCGCATTGGATATTTACAGATTAATCTTTGATTAGATCATTTTTACTGGATATGTTTAGGTTAATCGTTCATAATTAAACTTTTTGTACTGGATATCTGTAAGTTACTCGTTCAAGAATAGATCACCTGTATTGGATATTAATTGTTGGTTAATTGTTCATGATTAAGCTTTTTGTACTGGATATCTGTAAGTTACCCGTTCAAGAATAGATCACCTGTATTGGATATTAATTGTTGGTTAATTGTTCATGATTAAACTTTTTGTACTGGATATCTGTAACTTACTCGTTCAAGAATAGATCACCTGTATTGGATATTAATTGTTGGTTAATTGTTCATGATTAAGCATGTATTGGATGTTTGTTGGTTAATCGTTCATAACTACACCGTCTTAATTATTGGACACTGATATCTTAGAAGATGAGCGGAAGTTTTAAATTACAGACTAAAATGTTGTATTATAACCTTGTCAAAAGCCTTTATTATTGTTTGTTTGTTTGTTTTTGAATTTCGCGCAAAGCTACACGAGAGCTATCTGCGCTAGCCGTCCCTAATTTAGCAGTGTAAGACTAGAGGGAAGGTAGCTAGTCATCACCACCCACCGCCAACTCTTGGGCTACTCTTTGACCAACGAGTAGTGGGATTGACCGTCACATTATAACGCCCCCACGGCTGAAAGGGCGAGCATGTTTGGTGGGACGGGGATTCGAACCCGCGACCCGCAGATTGCGAGTCGAGCGCCCTAACCACCTGGCCATGCCGGGCCCTTTATTATTGTAGAAATTGTTTTAGAAAGTGCGAGATTCATAAAATATATATTACTCAAATTTGTGTAGTTGCTTACAACGTGCTATTTTGTATAAGATTATTCACAAATTTCACGTTATCTCTTGTTGTTTTATTCCATATCTCTATATTTTGTAAAATGAAATTTAATTCAAGGTTCTGACACATTTAAAGCGAATCTTTCAGCTATGCTGTTTTTAGAATTATATTTCCTTACGTTTCGTCATTATCACTTGTTTTTTTTTCTTTCTGGAAAAATGTTTCCTCTTAAATACCTGTTTGTCTCCATACTGCTATTTTTTTGATAATATTTTGAAATTTGAGGGTATCACTCTTTTGTTTGTTTTTCACATTATTCATTTATTTCCGTTTGTCACTTAAAACTGTTTCATTGGTCTTCTAGTTTACAATATATACTGTTTGTTAGATTATATTTTTTCCATAAGCCTTAGTGTTTTGTGTTTAATTGTAAGTGCCAGGTTGCATGAGGTTTCTATTGTGTTTTTTAGAGCGTCATAGTTGCCATGGGATACTTTCATTTTATTTTGTCATCTAGCTGAACTATAACAAACGTATGAACAATAATTTATGCTATTTTTGATGTCATTAATATCCCTATCTTACTTGAAAATGCCAATGAGGGAGTGAGCTCTCACGCTGTTTGTCCCGAAGACGCTCATTTCTGTTCTGTTGTTTTCCATTCATTAAATATTATAACGGTTTAACAAAAGATGTTACAAGTATTATATTCTAGTTTGTTGAAATTTTTTACTACCTTAGTTTCCTATCTTTTTCACTTTCAGCAGAGCTTACAGCCTCCAGCACCGTCAGGACCGCACGGTAGGGTTAGTCCTTACCCACCTCCATCCACAATGATGACAGCAGATGTAACTCAAGCTCCATCTTTAGGATGCTACTCCCCAGCGCCCTCTGAATGGAGAAAGAGGACTCAACACATTTCTGGTACTGGTAAGCAAATCCATTCTTCCAACAAAATAACGATAGTAAGATATTCAATGCATCGCCGTTAATGATTGATTTAAATATATAGTATTTTGTATATGAAATTCTGTAATATAGAATGTTAATACTGCAACTCATTAAGTCTTGATAAATTTTAATCATTACTATTTCAAGTGAGTAAAGTAAGACTTTTAATGAAATATTGAAAAAATGGTTTTATGGTGATAAGAGCGCCTCAACTGTGGATTCCACTCAAGACATTCTAGGCTCTCTCTAAAATGTTTAGATGAAGAAAGTTTAAGTGAATCCATTACATAAACGTTCGAACAGCTCTCCTTTTATTTGTTACCAAATAATTAAGGTTAAAATACTTATCAAAATTTGAATTTCCCTCAGTGGGTCAGCGGTAAGTTTACGGACTTACAACGCCAAAACACATCCCATTCATCAGTTACACATACTGATCGCAGAAAATATTTAGGAAAAGTAAAAATAACATTAGTAGTGATAATTAACTCTAAAGCACCTCAAATCTTTGATAATTTTAATTTATAACAGCATACACCCTGTTTCGCTAAATCTGATAAGATTTATTTGACAAAATACCAAGCTCTAAGTAGCTTTTGCCATCTAAAAAGTAGGCCTTGTAAGGCTCTCAAAACTCATTATTTTCGTATGTTATTATGCTTTATAACTTATATTTCTCACGATTCAAATATAAATACTCTGTTTTTAAAGTTGGTTATTTTAAAAGAAAGAATATTATTTGAAAACTGTATTTTGTATTTGTACTTTATATTGCCCCCTAGTGGCTCAGCTTATTAAACCAGAAATCAGGTTTCGATAACCACAGTAGAAAGAGCATAGTTACTCTTTGTGTAGCTTTGCGCTTAACGATAACAAGGACGATGCTTTATGTTTCAATTCATCTTTTGTTTTATTTCCTTGCTTTCGAGTAAAGCTATACAATAGAGTTTCTGCGTCTTGTCTGTCACGAAAAATCAAACCCCAAACGGTAATGAAATTGTTACGAAGTGATGAGGGTGCTAGACAATAATTGATTATGGAGTAATGAGAGCCCTATTTACAGGGTTGAGTGCTTATATTAACAAGAACTTAAACAGAAATCAGCACGTCGCGGTGGAATGGAATGTATCAGAACTATATCTTGACATTATTTGATAGTGTGATACCACCGAAAATTGATTGCTTTTGGGAAGCGTATGCAACTGCTCTGTCCTAGGCAAAATATTCATGCACTCAAATAATAAAGATGCGCTTAAATCAAGGATTTAGAATTTCCAAGTCGGATATATCCCTTGTACTTAAAGGTATTTGAAAACAAAGAAATATGGATGAATTTGGGGTACTAGGACCATCCAGAAATATACCTTAAACAAGTCATACACCGGACATTGCAAGCAAAGTGCGGCGTCTTATAACAGGTGAAAATCCTCGAACTCAATGGTCAGTGGCAAAATCTGTCTTCGTATCTTAAACAACAGTACGTTTAACCGTCACATACCTCAAGCAGTTGAAGAATGAAATGTGTATTCATACTATTCCATACGAAAAATACCGTTACTGTCCCAGATCATAGCGTCTATGTGATTGGGCTGTTGAAACTGGTTTTGGTATATAGTCATTCTCGTACGCTATATGGGTTACGGAAATGCCTGCAGAGAGGTCTGGTGTGCTTTGGAAATGACAGCCTTACAACGGAGCTATTCTCAATGGAAATTTTACTGCAAGACTATTGTCAATATGGTCACTAAAAAAGGAGCACAACATGACGTGGCGTCATGAACTTTAATGACGTGGTGAAACTCCAATAGTGTTTAATATAATACTAAAGGGCTATGTAGTGATGAGAACACTATGTAGTAAAGAAATAATTGTATGGTGAGGATGGCACTACCAATGTGAGATGACATTGGAATATGTAGTGATGAAGGCACTGTGCATCATTGTTGGGATATGTAGTGATGAAATAACTGTGCAACAGTGTTAGGATGTGTATTGATAAAAAAGCTGTACAAAAATTTTGGTATATGTAATGATGAAGGCACTATGCATCATTATTTGGATATGTAGTGATGAAGGCACTGTGCAGCGATGTTGGGATTTGTAGTACTTATTACACTGATCACTGCTATTGAAGCAAGGATGAAGAAGTTATTTTTCTATACTCTAATATTTTGTAGTGCTTATTACACTGATCACTGCTATTGAAGCAAGGATGAAGAAGTTCTTTTTTTATACTCTAATATTTTGTAGTGCTTATTACACTGATCACTGCTATTGAAGCAACGATGAAGAAGTTATTTTTCTATACTCTAATATTTTAAGTATTTCTTACTTTTCGATAATTAAAAATTAATAATCCGAGTCTTTTTTTAGAGCCTCGCTATGAGCCACAAGGAGCTTACTCCACTACTCCTGATCATCCCTATCCAACTATGGGGCAGAGCCAGTACATTTCTGCCTGTGAACGAGGTTATGAATCGGCTTATGATTCATCTCCTGAACGTAAACCGTCATCGATAAGTTATTCTGCTTCTCCGCGAAGAATACAACATCAAAGTTCATTTGGTGGTTACAGCGCCTCCTGGTATGAGGATCCTTCGTACTACAGAAGCCAGGTATACAGACCACGATCTCGGAGCGTAACTCCCGTAATCGATGAGGAGACCAGGCATGTGAAGTAAGGGCTGTATTACTTTAAAAATTACGTATACATATAAAACGTGCATTAAAATTTACTTGGTATGCTTACTTCTCTCCATGTTTTAATCTATAAACTCAAACATAATAGTACTATAATTTTGAAAAATATTTTAGAACGAATGAGATATACGTTTATTTCTAACAGACTTTAAGAATCTAGTGTTAGTAGAAATAAAAGCTTTAATCGCTTTAAAAGCTAAAAATGATACGCTATTGAAAAAAGAAAGAATTTCAACTCAGCCTTGATGAATATTACAATTGTAATCAATATTTCTGGCACACATTTTATACTACACATACACTCAAAAGATGTCCTAGTGATTGTATATTATAAAACGTTATAACTGAAGCTTGAATATGATTTTACTTCAATGTATATTTGTTTAGTAATTGCGCTAACAGTTAAGCCTTAAGAAGAGCCATTTCTTAACAACTAATTTCGTAATTTGATATTGAAATATATTGTTTACGTATTGATATTACCTTTACTGAACAGATGATCGTATTGTCCAGTAATATCAGGTAGAGTCTAGTGGTTACCGTGCCGGACTGTGGATTCCAGGGTCTATAGTTCGTGTACCATTATGAGAAAATAGATTGCGCGTCACATTTTGGGGCCGTGGGTGTGTTATAAGGGTAAAGGTAAAATCCCACTAGTAATTTAGACAAGAATAGCCTAAGAGTTGCTGGTAGATGCTGGTGACAAGTATTTGTTTCCTTCAATCTATCATAACACAACTAGGAAAGGCAGGGCTTGGCCTGGTGTTTAGGATGCCTTCCCCCACAATCTGCAGATCGCGGAATCAAAACTTGGTGCCGTACATGCACGGCCTATCAGGTGTTGGGGGTATTATAATATGACGGTTTATCTCACTATTTGATAGTAAAAAGAGTAACTCAGAGTTGGTGGTGGGTGTTGCCGACCGGCTGCCTTCTCTAGTCAAAAATCTAAAATTAAAGACGGCAACAAATAATATTATTAGTTTTGTTATAACCAAAACAAACAAAAAATTAGGAACAGCTAGCGCAAATTGCCCTTGTGTAGTTTGGCGGGAATATCCGAAATAAATACTCTAGAAGTAAAACATTATTTGATCTAAAATGTGCCTAGTTATCTACTTGTTGTTTGAGTGATAGCAGGAAATAAGTTTTACATAATACTCCTTCAAAAACCTGGTTTCAAAGTTTAAACTAAACGGTTGATATGCTTCATATATTTTCTGAATTACGAACTTTTACTTGAAACTTGAAAAATTAAAAATTAAAGCAATTAAAGGATATGCCAAAACTGCCTAACAATGTCTTTTAGTTTCATCTTATCAGAGTAGAACCTTGCTTTACTCTCTCAGCTCTACTTAAACTACAACGTATACTTAAAACATTCTTCAATACCTCACATAAAATGATCAATATGTATAAAATATTATTAACATTTAACACAATTTGAAATAGTTTTTGTATTGAATCGTTTCGATAAAATGTATCCAGTTTTACCACTAATTTTACCAATCAGGAAAAGAATGGAGTTTATGGAACACCAGTTAGCAAGTTTGACAGGATTGATGCAAAAGGTGTTGACGACTCCTCTATCTAGACAACAGTCACGTGCAGAGGAAACTCATGACGTATTTAAAGAATCTGAAGGTATCTTTATACACTATATGAACTGTACAAGATGTCTTATGTTCCGACGACCTTTTTTTAAAGCTTTTCTGACGTGTTTTATTCCTAAGAACAGCTAAGGCATAGCAGATTCATATTTTAAGATATATATAAAGTTATATGCAGCTTAGTTTGAATGTCTTAGTGGTTACAAAAAAATGTATAACTTTTTTTTATAAACGTATTTAAATAATATTCAGTGTTGCTTATATCTGTATTTTACAAAAACGCAAGAGCTTTTGACGATTGCTTTTACAAATCGCTTTTGAATGTAATTCGTTTATTCCCGTTACTTCAAAACAACTTTATAAACAAATATTATTTATAAACAGATAATAATGTGATTTTTTAATACCCTGAATTAATACACTGTTTATAAAGTCTACATTCGTACAAAAGCACATTTATTAACCAAAACGTAATGAGACTTGGATTTTGAATAAATTATCTACTGATAGATGCGCAATCAACTTTTAACATTAAATTTTTTCTTTGTAGTATTCCATCTGTATATGTAATTTCAAAATGATTATTAGAAAAAACTTTTAAACAAAAATTGACCCATTATGATGGTTTTCTTTTGCAAAAAAAAAAATTGAAGTTCATAAAGGGAAAGTTTTTGTCATTTCTGATGAGGCTATAGAACTACTGCTGTTTAGCATCATTTCAGATGAGGCTATAGAACTACTGCTGTTTAGCATCATTTCAGAT